GACGACAAGATTTTTAGAATAGGTTCGTATGAATAGAATATGTATTCTTTGGTTTGATTCATTTTCTTTTACGGCATATCAACCTCAATGGGTTATTTAATGCCGACAAGATTTTTAGAATAGGTTCGTATGAATAGAATATGTATTCTTTGGTTTGATTCATTTTCTTTTACGGCATATCAACCTCAATGGGTTATTTAATGCCGACAAGATTTTTAGAATAGGTTCGTATGAATAGAATATGTATTCTTTGCTTTAATTCATTTTCTTTTACGGCATATCAACCTCAATGGGTTATTTAATGCCGACAAGATTTTTAGAATAGGTTCGTATGAATAGAATATGTATTCTTTTTTTGATTCATTTTCTTTTACGGCATATCAACCTCAATGGGTTATTTAATGTCGACAAGATTTTTAGAATAGGTTCGTATGAATAGAATATGTATTCTTTTTTTGATTCATTTTCTTTTACGGCATATCAACCTCAATGGGTTATTTAATGCCGACAAGATTTTTTAGAATAGGTTCGTATGAATAGAATATGTATTCTTTTTTTGATTCATTTTCTTTTACGGCATATCAACCTCAATGGGTTATTTAATGCCGATACCTTTTTTCCTGGTAATGTTTTTGTCTTGTCAAAAATCTTTTCTTGTAACATTCTTTTTCTCAAAAATGTATAGCTGGAAATACTATTTTAATGAATGTATTGCTGGTAATATATTTTTTTCAAAAACGTATTGCTGGTAATAGTTTCTTTTCTTCAAAAATTTATTTCTGGTAATAATCTTTTTTACAAAGTAATTCTGGTATTAAAACTTATTTTTACACTTTCATAATGCTTTTTACTTCAGTTTCGGAGTTAACTATTTGCCCATAGCTGGGACCCTAACAGGTGCTACCAACCCGGGTCAGGGTGAACCTGGTAATGCCAGCAATTAAGAGGTGATTCGACGCTCCTCAAAACCTTCTGATCAGAGGCCTTCCTGTTGGACGTAGTTTATCATTTTACCCAGGACGCAGCTTTAAGAGGCCGATGTCTCATCCGATTTGAACTAACTCTAAAATGTCTCATATAATATTCTTTTCAGATCTTTTTTTTCATAATTGAATGTTGTATTCTGTCTCCTTCATTAATTCCTAAGTATTTACATGTACCATCTTGGGCGACTTCTTTAATCTTGTTGTTGATATCAAGGTCTAAATCCGTAGTTTTCGTTAGCTTACAGCCTTTGAAGGTGGCTTTGGCACATTTGTCGATTCCGAACTCTACCCTAATATTTTCGCTAATATTTGAAGATCTTGTTTTACCAGAAGAGTCTGATCAATTTTTCATGTCGACTGATTCTCTGTGTCTTCGCTTGATATTAAAGTAATATTCTGAATTGGACTGATATAAGGTTATAAAAGAAAAAGGAACACCATTAATTAAGAGGTGATTCCACGCTCCTCAAAACTTCCTAATCAGGCCTTGCTGTTAGACGGAGTTTATCGTCTTACCCAGGACGTGGATGTAGTTTATCGTCATACCCAGGACGGCCCAAGTTCATTGTGCAGAATATTCTCATCTTTCTTATATACTAATATCTTTGGCTATTTCATTTATCGTCATTCGTATGTCATCCATCACAATGTGGTGAAAATAATCAATGTTTTACTCGCTGCTGGCTGTGGGAGGACGTCCACACTTTCAGTCAACTTCAAGTCTCTCCCTTCCCCTCCTAAACTCATCTGCCCACATTGGAGCGTCATCCACAAGAATGCATGTCAGAATGAATGTCCCTTGTTCTGAAGCGTTTTTCTTTTCTGCAGACATTTGATATCATCGCGATGTCAAATCTTGTCCATTTACAGAAGTCAGTCCGATTTACTTTTGAAGTCTTCTTGGATCAGTCAGATGATAATGTAGTTATTAATGAGAAGAGTTGATATTAATGCAATTTAATTCCCAAGTATTGAATCATCTTTCTCATCACAGTTCTTTATCAGAAGACAATGCCGATGCTTTCGCTTGTATTATGTAATCAATGTGCCTGATCTGTTAGGTTTTAGATGTCTATCAAATATGAAAATGAATAATAATAACCCTAGGACTTCTATGACAAGCTCAGGGCAAATCTCACACCATTTGTCCGTATTTTAATATTAACATATCTTCCAAAAAGCGTTTGGCATGCTGGTTTCATCCACAAGTTGAAAGGGGTGAGTATTTCTGGCCGAAGTTTTGATCAGATTCAATCTTTCTTATCAAACCACGAAATGAAAGTTATCTTGGACGCCTACTCGTCTAGGTTTTGGTTTTTTGCATTCATGCAGGCGTCCTCAAGGATTCTATCCTTGATGATGGCATCAGTTCGAACTACTAATACATATTTAATCCTTTGAGCCCTGGTTTCCTGTACAATTTTAACCCTTCTGCCTGACACCCATTGTCAAAATTCGCAAATAATTCGTATGTAATGTTTTACGGTAGATATAAAAATAGTTACAAGTGTTTACCCACCGTTCAACCGGTGGCTGGGCATTAAGTCATTTTTTTCAAGCACCGGTAAATTGGTAGTCACGGCTCAAAGACTTAAGGCGGATGTACCTCACCGTGTTATCCATGGTCAGATCGGCTTGATAGGGTCAAATTGAGGCCGATCTAAGACAAATGACCTGCAATCTGTTGTTAACCAGGGCAAAAAATGACGTGTTAACGAAACAGCTTTATCTTTTAATCGCAACTTTTTTTGTTATGCGTCAGCATGTCTAATGCTAACCCCACGAGAGTGGTTACTTGAATCTTTTAGAGCTAAGGTTTTCCGCTGACATGAGGGGGAAAGATTACATTGAAACAAGGATTAGGTCTGCTCCTCGGAAACTTTGTTCTCTTCGAGACAAAACCAGAAATTATCATAAACATGTATTAATCTACAATCCATGCATACATTGAATATTGCCGTCATATCTGGCTCGGTGCATTTTCTATGTATTTAGATATTCTTGATAACACACAAAGGAGGGTCAGCAATGTTATCGGTGCTGAAATGGCACCTCGGGCTTAGCTGCTTTCCGATCTGCCGTGACGTTGCTTCAAAGTGCATTTTCTATAAATATTTTAATGATAAGTCTCCTGTTTTGATTTGGCTTGTTTTGTGTTACGGCATGTCAACCTCAGTGGGTCATTTAATGCCGACAACTGGTAATATTTTTGTTTTGTCAAAAATCTATTTCTGGTAATAATTTTTTTACAAAGTATTTCTGGTATTAAAACCTATTTTTACGCTTTCAAAATGCTTTTTAAAACAGTTCCCGGGGTTAACTATTTGCCCATAGCTTGGACCCTAACAGGTGCTACCAACCCGGGTCAGGGTGGACCTGGGAACACCAGCAATTAAGAGGTGGTTCCATGTTCCTCAAAACCTCCTGATCAGAGGCCTTGCTGTTGGATGTAGTTTATCGTCTTACCCTGAACGCGGATGTAGTTTATCGTCATACTCAAATCGGGATAATTCTTCTGATGGGGTTTCCTCTTTGGTACCCTGACTTAACGAATTTATGCGGAGTTACTAGATTGGTTTATAGGTCTTGTCATTTTACTGTTGAAAGATGAATAACCGTAAGTTCTATGCTTGCAGTTTCTTCTCTTGCACTTTATGGTATGGTCAATTTTCTTGGGGTTCCTTGCTTTCCTGTGAATTTTCACTTATAAAAATATAAATGTAATTTTCATTGTTATCATTTTATACTTAATTTGAGACATCAGGTGAGCAAACGTTTTTTTTCCTCAATGCCATCTTTCAAGGTGCCAAGAAAAACCGGGAGACAGAGTGGAAAAGTGCTGATAACGTCTCTGAGTAGAGTGGATGACCTGGATTTTCAGATGTTGGCAGGTTAGGTTACCATCTGCGCATGGAGCTTAGAATATCACCCTTTCATGGGTCAGAGGATGGTGGTATCAATTCTTTTTTAGAGGTTAGGGTGAACGAATTTGGAGTGGGGGTACACATTTTAAGCCCTTCAATCTAAATGAACTCTTACGCTTTCCATTAAATAATTTAACGTGACTTTAAGGGCTTACGACTACATGACGTTGCAATCTGGTAGGATCATCGAAGTTAAGCAACGTCGAGGCTGGTCAGTACCTAGATGGGTGAACGCTTGGAAATACAAGGTGCTATAAGCTTGAAATTTCTATATAAATGAACTTCATTACGCTTTCCATTAAATAATTTGACACGTCTTTACAGGCTTACGACTACATGACCTTGCAATCTGGTAGGATCATCGAAGTTAAGCAACGTGGAGGCTTGCCAGCAGCTAGATTGGTGAACTCTTGGAAATACAAGGTGCTGTAAGCTTGGATGTTCTATGTAAATGAACTTCATTACGCGTTCCATTAAGGGCTTACGACTACATGACGTTGCAATCTGGTAGGATCATCGAAGTTAAGCAATGTCGAGGCAGGTCAGTACCTAGATGGGTGAACGCCTGGAAATACAAGGTGTTATAAGCTTGGATATTCTATCTAAATGAGCTTCATTACGTTTTCCATTAAATAATTTAACACGACTTTAAGGGATTACGACTACACGACGTTGCAGTCTAGTAGGATCATCGAAGTTAAGCAACGTCGATGTTGGTCAGTACCTAGATGAGTGAACGCTTGGAAATGCAAAGTGCTGTAAACCTGGATGTTCGGCTAGTTCCATATGCAATGCGCAATGTGTTTCCGATAATATCATATTAAAACATCGGTTCTCGTAAGATCACCGAAGTTAAGCAACGTCGAGCCTGATCAGTACCTAGATGGGTGACCGCTTGGAAATATCAGGTGCTGTAAGCTTGGATGTTCGGCTGGTGTAATGTGCTTCCGGCAATATCACGTTGAAACGTCGGTTCTCGTACGACCACCGAAGTTAAGCAACGTCAAGTCTGGTCAATATCTAGATGGGTAACCACTTGGGAATATCAGATGCTTTAAGGTTGGAATGTTAGGGTGGTGTAATGCGCTTACAAGCATATCACGTTGAAACCCCCGTTTCTCGTACGATCACCATAGTTAAGCAACTTCGAGCCTGGTCAGTACCTAGATGGGTGACCCCTTTGGAATGCCAAGTGCTGTAAG